GCATGCCGCCTATTTTTGGCAACTAATCAAAAGAAGTTTAATCTCTGATCATGTTCCATTGAAACTTTCTTTGTTTTCAACTTTCTGATTTTTTCAAGCCAATTAGATAACAATTGCGGCCCATATGCTGGATTAGGAGAAGCAATCAAAACAAGCCGTTTCAATGAAAACGCACATTGAATAAAGACGCAATTCATTTATCATTTCATAAAACAAATTAATCTCAATTCAAAGGAAGTTACTCACAGTTTTGCACGGTTGAAACTCGATTTTGGGCTAAATCTTACCTAAATACAAATTTCTTATTAAAACAGTTAGAAATTGTTCGTTTTCATTTTTGAGTCAGAAGCCAAACAAAAAATTAAAAATCTTGCTAAAATATTTGAAATAAAATGAAAATCAGAAGAAAATTGCTTTTTTATACTTTTTACGCAAATTTATTTGACATCCATGATACACGAACACATAAAAAATCACATCTTTGGTAAAATTAATTGACATGTAGAGGTAGGTTTAAAATAAATTTTCAAATAGCTTGAAAGATATCATTGAATTGGAGTGTCGCGAGATACTTGTGAATCCGTATTTGTTGTTTTTGTAGAAGAGCTGCGCGTTCGGGAACTTCCATTTGATGTTCCAGTTGTGCCACGCATTCCCCTGTATCTATGTTCAGAATGAGGTGTGAATGAAAGTTTTCACAAACCAAATGGAGCTTTTAACGGATTGAATTTCAATAAATTTTAATAATTATTGGTTCATAAAAATCAATCTATTTTCAACACAAACTTTTTCTTCAATAAAATCAGCACACGACGTTTCATCACAAAGAGTATGAATACGATGAGTCCTTGCAGCAGATTCCAAATGTCCATCATTATAACGAGCCAGTTTGAATTTGCGTTGTTTGGGTCTTGAGTCAAATATTCAATCGCTTCCATAATCCAACAGACTCCCATGATAATAAACAGTCGCATAAATAATACCAGACTGTAAACAAATCATTTGAAAATAAATTATGCATTGAATTAATATCACGACGTTTGCAAGTTCACTTACTTGTCTTTCTCATTATTCAAATGGCTCTGATGGCGTGCACTTTCTTCTTGTGATGTAATTTTAGATATTTCTCGTTGTGCTCGACGAATTTTAAACGCTGTCACAACAAATAACACAGCATTGGCCGAAAATATGATTAAAATGAGCATATAAAAGTATAGGAATGGCGAAAGTTTTCCATCTGAAACATGAACGGTTTTGATTGAAATTTTGCTTTATACAAAATTGATTGTTTTCTCTGTGTGTGGGTTTTCCTCCTACCTTTTGAAGGTTTTAAAAAATTCGATTTCGTTCCAATGCCTGGTAGTAAATAATCTGGTAGTGGTTCGGTAAAGTCAAGAACTACAGCGATTATTGTTAGAAGAAATGGTGATCCCCAAGCATAAATCATGTATGCAACGAATCTCTTGCGTTCGGAATAAATTTTGGAGCGTATTGCGCTGAAAACAATTAATCGTACAATTTCATTTATGGCAAAATATAAAGCATAACTTCTTGCGAAAAAATATTTACCGAAAATTACGATGCAAGTCATAGCTAATGACATTTGACCAGAAAAAGGCAGATAACAGAGAAAAGTATGTAATAAGGCCAATCATTTTACGAGAAATTGGGTCATTTTTATGCCACCCGTTGAGTTTTATCCAAGTCAACAAAGAATACCCAACTATTAGCCCGGACAGATAACCGAGAAGACATTTTCCATGTAAATTACGCAAATCCGGCAACAAAATGTATACCAAAAAGGTTGCAGCAATAAATGACACTGATATCAGCATAGCTATTCGGATGGAAGATTATGAGAAAATTTGAAATTAAATTAATTTATCGTTGTCTACTAAATATTGGTAGCATCAAGTACCTATGGCATAAATTAAATCCTTTTCGCTATACGCATCGTCTACTTTGTCAGATATGAGAACATTCAATTTAATTTCGCCAGTCATTTGATCGAAATATTTTAGCAAACAATAGCTTTGATGATCGTACAACTCGCCCATATCCAGAACTTCACCAGTCTGTGGATAATTTTATGAAGTTTTTGCGAAATTTAGAATTAAAGAACAAATAAATTAGTTTCACGGTTCTTGTGTCATTCACTCTAACGGCATCACGCACACGAACTAGGGGCGTCTGACTTAAATTGTCAACTAGATACATTATTGTATTAATCGCAAATGATCAATTGATTGCGAATTAGAGTCAGAAGACCCTAGCACACAAACGAGTCAGCACGACAGTCTGAGCAAAACAGATGGAATTTGAAAGTGGCAAAATTTAAGCTAGAAATCATATTTTTTATTTTTTAAATAAAATCTTTACGTACATGTTTTATCTCCCATTTTTTACCATAAAAATAATCATCTTTTGGTGACGTAGCGATCACATATGAAAACTCTTCGTTCAAGTTAACTTTTTCCATTTTGTTATTTTTCTCCCGGATTTCAAACGTTAAGTTTTTGGCTTTATCATTATTTGCACATTTGAACAACTCCCCGATTTCTTTTACTCCCAATTTTGAATCGAAAACTTTTCCAGGTGAGCAGCAAAGCCGAATGCAAGTTTTAACTTTGCACGGACATCCTCGTCGATGTGATGACACTGGACTACGTTCCGTTCCATTAACCAGGATATAATCTATTTCCGCATATTGACCTCTTGGAAATATGATCCCATTGAATTGTATCGAATCGTCTTTGCCGAGTAATCCATCAGTAATATTGATTGAATCGTGAAAATTGCACGGTAAGCCTGTAGTAATTGAGGTTGCACCGCTCCAATTCAGAGAAATCAACTGAATTATCAGAATCCGTAGCACACCCATCACGTTTTTCGGTATCAAATGAACTCTTGAACTCATTTTGTCAGAGGCAAACACATTAAATATTCATCAATTTTCAATCGAGTTTATTCTCATGATTGACAGCCACAAATGGAAAAAATAAACCGCGAATTAATTAAAGATAAAACCACAACTGCAAATCTACTCAACGCACATATGTTATAATTTTTTTTTTTGGTTTTCACTTTTTTTCCACTCGTTGGTTTTGATAATTTTTTTTTGAAATATTTTATTTTGATTTAAACAATAGAATTATTTCCACACGTATCACGTGCGCAAACAAACTAATTCATTGCAATAATGTTGAACAAACCTAATCCTCTGACCGAACGCCCAAGACTGAACATAACGATTGTAATTCACTGCCTTTTTGATTGCTATCACATTTATTGCTGAGCATTTTGACACCACTTGCTACCAGCTCAAAGCATCACACAGGACTAACGCGTGGATACACGCTACTGCACAGTGGCTTAACAAAAAATTTGTTATAGACTGGGTGGTAACTGACTTTATATATATTTGACTCCATAGTTTTGGATCCTAAAAAAGAAAAAAAAAACAATGAAGTCACTAACACGTTTTATTGACGGCGTTCACCACTCTTTCCACTTGGAGCCATTACCATACGAACTATTAGTAAACGCTATCGTGTAAACGGTTTTATGGCATTTATGCGGGATATTGTCCGAAAAAAAAATGGATGGATTGGTAGACGCGAAAATGAAAAATGGATAAAAGCAATAAAAAAATTAATGTTGAATTTGACGCATCTATTTATATTTGGTCTGAATAATTCGTTTGCATAAATAATGAATTTCGGCGCAAATCTCAAGTGTCTATGTTGAGATTGACTTATCTTCTCTATTTTTGAATGAAATTCTCTTCCAAATATTATGCTGTGGGCAGCAATTGAAATAGCATCAATAATCCGAGTAAATACAAAACCATTTTCATTTTTTTTTAAATATTTTATTTCATTTTTCAAATATATGGTCCATCAATGAGATAAATTTACGCGCAAATATCTTTTATAAATTGTAAGATTGATATATTCGGTAATTTAATGTAAGTGATGTCATAATGATAAAGCTGTTGATTTTGTAGACGACGGCATGTAAAATTAATATGTGTCTAGCCTATTTGTTACATTTATGTTTCATGTTACTGGTTTGCCCTACTTAATTTATGCTTTATATTACTTCCCAGAAATGATGCGATGTAACCGATAAACTGGCTAAACTTCTAACGGTTTCGAACAATTTATAGCAAGAAAATTACATCACAGCGGGCGATCAAGAAATCGTTTCTTCAGCATTTTTTTTTTGCTATAGGTCCGCAACTGACGAGCGTTTAGCCGGTTCCACTGATAACGCATTTCAAAATGAATAAGTTATTCTCATCCAAAAATAATAAATGACGGAAGCGTATCATTCAAAATTATATAAAAATATCGTAATGCCTGTGACTTACGGATGAAAAAAATTCATCAACCATTTTATCGATGCCAATCAGGATATGCATGACTAAAGATCTGGTATGCTTTCAGCCATGCATCATTTTTATATAATACGAAACGTAATTAATCTCCAAATATCACTTGATAATAAATTAATTAATGGTGTCATTTATAATAATTAAGGAAATGAATTCAATCCCCAATAAAAAAAGAGCAGGGACTAAAAGCAGATAAAAATAATTTTTGTGGAAAAAACCTCCAATTCTTCATATCAACCATGTTTTGGAACGTTGTGAAGTGGGCACACATGTCCTTTTGAAGAATATTTTTTATTGTATTTATTTCACGCTTGAACAACTTGATTGTGTGCCTCATTTGCCGTTTTGTGTTGACTTAAACCTGCCATGCAACTCCTTACTTGATCAGAACAGTCGTTGGTGTTTGGCAAAGCAAAGCAAACGCGTCCACTTTTATATGTATAGAGATAAAATTGCGTATATTTAACCTAATAAACTTAAATTTAAAGTTATAAAGATCGAATGCCTAAAATCATTTTAGTACATTTTTAGTACTGTTTTAGTACTTTTAGAACTTGGCCTGCAAAGCTCTTGAGCAGTACTACAAAGTTGTTCCAGACTCCATTGCTCTATTTTGATCAATTGAGGAGTTATAAGAATTCAAAAAATGCTCAAAAATGTTGTTTGGTAGCCAAAATTGATTTTCAGCCAATAAAGTGGACTGGATGTGGTTTTTTCGAGTTGATGTGTTCTGAAGAGTTATTAAATTTTTTTTGGCTATAATTTTTAAGAAGAGAGTGAGCGAAAAAAATGTATTCCTCGCGAGTTATGGTCGAAAAACTGAAAAAATTTAGAATTTTTCGGACATTTTGCCCACTTGTATCCACCAAATGTGATTTTTTTGATGAATCGTTATAAAAATTAATGAACAATTTTAAGAATTGAAAATAAAGCGAAGTCAAGCCGAAACATACGATAATTTCTATGAAAATGAGTCTAATTTTGGTGATTTTATTGATTTTTCGACAATTCCCAACATCTCCAACTACATAGATTTTCTGATTTGTGTGGATGCAATATAAATCGCTGCAAAAGGTTTGCACATTTTTTTTCATTGATCCACATAATCCAAGCTAGTGGTGCTATTAATTTTCCAAAATAGCGTACACTGAGCAGCGCCCTAAAACACATGCCATGTAAACTACGTAGCTCGGGTATACAAATATAGATGGATATAGTGATGGATATAAACATCACCAATAGAGTCGTTCCTATTTGGTAAGAATCGAGACAAGGGTTATAGTTATGTGCGTGGTATTCAGTTCCAATCGTAAATAAATACGAGATTCTATACCTATAGCACAAACAGTAGCTTCGATTGAATCTTTTTTTTTGTTTGTTACAAGAGCGGTAAGTTCAATGTTGTTGGTGAATGTGTCTGCTTTAGCAAGCAGACAATATTTTCGATGATTATACAACTGATCCTCTGCGATGATTTCCCCAGTCTAAAAGTAGGTATGCTAACAAAATATTGCGATTATTGGAGTTTAATTAAGTTTTACTTGTGTTATTTGATATGTTTTCACAACATAATAGTTTAAACTGGGCATCATGGGTATTACATATGAAAATATTTCACTCAGTTTAACCGTTTTGACTCCGTTATTTTCATCAATGATTTTACCTTCCAAGCGGTTGGTCACTTCATCATTTCTACATGGAAACACTTCTCCGATTTTCCTGCTACTCTTTCGATCCCAAATTTTCCCAATAGAACAACAAAGCCGAATACAAGGTTTGAATTTACATGGACATCCACGCAAATACGATGGCGACAAAACACGTACCGCTTCGCTAATATGGAAATAATCATTTTTGGCATATTGATCCATGGAGAATGATATATTGTTGAATTTTATTGTGCCATCTGGTTCGTGCGTTCCATCAGTTATATTGATCGAATCTTGGAAATAACACGATTCAAAATTATCAATCCAATTAGCAATAAACTGATTACATCTTTTGGTATGAAATGAATACTTGAAGGCATTTTGACACTTTGAAATACATTGAATTCTTGAAATTAATCAAAACACCTAAATTATTTCATAAAATCACAAATCTTATCACGGGTTGTCGGTACTTTATCATCAACGATTTCGCATTGTTGTTTTTAATGGGTTCTTCAGAAAAGTTTCTTTGTGCTTGTGCTACGCAACAAATTGCTTTGTGAAGAATAAAGATGCTATCTATATGTGTGCTGATTTAATGAACCACGGCAAACAGTTGAGTGGTGAGCGTAGTATCATATGATTCCAAATGGAAAATGGCAGATGTAAGAGCGAGAAGGCACGAAAGAAAAACGCTAAGAAACCATATGACGGTTTTTCTTTGACTTATGAATATATAACGTTATAACATAGTTTTATTGAACACAAGGATAAGCGAATGAACCGAAACCTGCGAGCAAAGATTTACAACTGAGCCATCCAAAATGGTTCGCCGAATTTCTTATGACTATTTTTATCGGTGGGTGTTTCAGTACTATTTGCTATCACTTTAAAGTATCAACTGACTCATAAGCATAATCTCCAACTGACTTACATTACTGTTTGAATGGACGTTTGGGGCATTGTAATATACGATTTGTGTGTGTGTTTATGCTCGATTATATTCTGAAAAGAAAGTAAACAATAATTATCGATGAGTCATCCGAGAATTGTCCCATTGACAATGACAATGTTCGAGGTTCTTTCTAGTGTAGCACTTCACAAAAAATATGATGTCAATTGTGTCCTGTTTTTGACCACATTCCGGAGTCCATATCATGGATTAAAGTACCAAATAAACTAGAAATAGTATGATAAATATTCCAAATAAAGTCCAAACTCACACTTCCGCTTCTTCTTTTTTTTTAGATAAACATATTCTTTCAAGATTACAATCATTTTTTATGAAAATAGCTTTGATATAGAAGAAGTTCTTGGATTTTTCGTCCCGTTGTTGCCTATAATTAACTAAAGTTGGTAGATTTTTGATAGGAATCAAAATCAATTGGAAACAAACTTACACAAATTGAAATACAAATATTCTATTGCATTCAAAAATATTTCTAAACAAATCCCAAAGGATTGTTCCTTATTTTTGAATCTTATTCATAAGGAGGCTAAACTAAACTAAATTATCAATTACCGTTGTAATTATAACTAAAAATCAACTTGCCAAAGTAAACTAGAAAATTATTAAATTAAAAAAGAAGAAGCTAAATCTTACTTTATCTAATTGAAGTTGAAAGCAGTTAGTCGGCTCTTGACTCCATCATTGTCATGAGTCGCTTTTTGCTAGGTTTCAAATGGTTTCAGCCATAAAATGTGTAAATTTTGAAGCAATTCTGGCGCAGTTCTAATAGTGTTAAAATGCTCGCGATTCTGTTAAAGAATAATTTATGAAGTGTGAAACAATTGGTTCTTCAAAGTATGAGTCATCGCATCAGCATCACGTGTAAGAAATGCACATGAGTGAAACATATAACAAATGCTAAATATGTTCAATATCATGATCACGAATCGTATATTAATACAAAATTTTGTGTGATGGGTACATTACCGCCTGGAATCCATACCTGCTTAGAAAAAAATCCAGCTTACTTGGTATTAGATAATTTATCTACATTTGAACCAAAAAAATTCTTTGTCATCACAAAGAAAGTATTAATCGTCCTTATCAACCGAAAAAAATAGTTATAAACAGAAATTAGAGATCGACTCTTTGGCGTTTTTTATAGTCTTAACAGTATGAAGTTGGCAATGATTCTAAACGCCGTGCGTGTATTTTACGCAGTAATACTGCAATGCGATATGCACAAAAAATGTTCCTCGAGATCAACGATAACTTGAAAACCAAAGTGACACAAAACAAGTTTTGGTCTTAAACTGTAACTTGATTTGTTATGATACACTTTGTTTCTCTTTGGTTCAAAATCTTACGTTCTTGCTCTTTATTCGTAGATAAAATCCATGTTTCGCTTCATTCCTGAAGTATTCTGAGGGAAGGATTTGGTCACACCGGCTCGAATATACACAAAAAAAATATTTAATAATGAAAGAAAATGTTTTATGGTTTGTGCACATTTTAGGTGGATGAAGAAAAGCCAGTTTTGGTTCCAGGCGATCCGAAGCGCAAACACTTGAAGAAAGTTGATAAGGATGATGGCATTCGATATCACGACAGCCAAATAATCAATTTCGATGATATTGCAGTAAAATTCAATGTTTTCAAAATAGGATCCACGTAAATGGATACATTCTATCCATGAAAATAGTCTCCAATTGTATTACTTGCTTTTACAAACGAAAATAACAATAAAGCGTTCAAACGATGTAAAATGAACTTTTCTGTTGTACAAAATTATAGGCAAATTGACGTTTAATTGTTCAGATACAACCATTATTTTCACAAAATTGGCATTAATTAATATTTCATTGGCTCAGACATGGAGAATACAAAAATAAGTGCGTCAAAACACAATGCGAATGCTCAAATTAAATCCATAACGAAGGACATTCCCACAAATTAGGAGAAGCTGCAAATAAAATTTTAAACATTACTTGACTAACGAACATTTTAGCTATTAATCGACATTTCGCTCATTTTAATGATTTGTTCTGAAAAATAGAACTCATCGCAATTTTTATGTTGTTTACTATATTCTCTCTCACCCAAGACGCATCTAGTGTTTGGATGTCACGTTCAGTAGAATAAGTACGTAGTAAGTTCAACAAACGAATTTGCGAGGAAAGTGAATGGGCAACAATGCGCATGTATTGATGAGTAAATTCAAGTGTTCACTTAAGTCTATTCACCAATACACATACACTAATATTCATTCTCTTTCATCACATATTCTTGCGATTCTACTGAATGTTACATTCAAACACTGAATGTTTCAATCGCACTTGAGTCGGTAACACACATTTAAGGTCTTTTATCAGCACGAATACTATCAATAGATTTGAATTAAATTTAATGGTATATTCATGACATCATTTACACTGTGTGTCATTTACAGTACCGTGCAAAAGTTTGGGTATGACAGGAAAGTTTGAAGCTGTTGATAAATAGAATTCACAAATTCATCTGAATAATAAAGGCCGAAGCATGAAAATGACCAATTGGTATAGACTAACATGATCAGTTATGGTCACAACTCATAAAGAAGCATATGGAATTATTTACAAATATGCCTTGGTCACATGATCTAGGGTCATACTGCTTATTTCATTCCATTTCAACTGTTGCGCAATAGCTTTTATGGTTTTCTCCTTATTCTACACTGTTTTGATAATTGCGCTAAATGTTCTTTCAACGTTTTTTATTGTTCTAGTGTCACTTTGACAGTTGTGCCAACGTAATAAGAACACATGTTGTTGTGTCAGCTAACATGTTGTTTACGTTTTTATATTACGACTAACATTAAATGAACAGAAATGAAGTTTTTGTTTTATTTTTAGATTGAATTCAAATTGAATTCAAACGTGATTTTGAAATTTTTTGTACTGTTGAATTTTGTTTTTTTAAGCTATTAATTGTGTTGTATTGTTTTTGTCACAATTTAATACACATAGAAATAAGTCTAAGGTTTTCTTTGATATCTGCCAATTTTGCTAATTAAGAACGAAATAGCACTATTTTCCATCGGTGTTTCGCCCCCAAGCACATGATTACTACCGTTATTACACACGATAAATTGTACAAATACAGAACAATCATTCAATAAACTTCATATTCCAAACCTGAAATTGTAACAAAAGTGAAAATTTACATTCCTAAAGATTCCTGAAAATAGTGGGCACTTTTTTTTCTATAACTTTGACATTTGAAACATTAAACGATGTACAAGCGAATGAATTTGGCTGGAAAATTCATTAGCATATATGGCAATGCTGAGAATTACGGCGTTCGATATGAAAAATGTGTTTCGCTACAAAACTTTTGCACGGTACTGTATAGAATACGCAAAATGTCAACTGAATTTAAATATTCCAACGCGATTTTTTCATTTCACTTTTTAATCGTCAGTCACTTGTTATATTTGCAAACAGAACGTTTACGTTTTATCAAGTTATCGGTGTTTTTCAGCAACGTCTACAATGGGTAAATTTTAAATGTTACAAAAATGATAATAATATTAACTCTGAAAATTAAGTAACTCGATTTAAATAAAACCTGATCACGATCAGTGATCATTTCTGACAGCAAAAAGAAAACAAATCGTGTCTCAAATACACTTTATACCGTATGTCATTATTAGAATTTTCATTATGTTCATAAAATTTTAATGTAGCTAATTTAAACCGGGCTATCATTCCAATTGCCGAGGCACAAAGATTCATTGTGGACTGCTTTCAATCGTTGAAAGTTCCAGTAAGTCATGCTAAATTAATGGCTGATTTATTGGTTGCTGCGGACTATCGTGGACACTTTAGCCATGGAATGAATCGACTTGAAATGTATTTGAACGACATCCAGACTGGTACTATGGATGGGGCAGCTGTGCCAACCACAATCAAAGTAAGTTGACAAAGAAATTTTTTTTACCTTATTTAAATAATTTAAATTAAAATGACGATTTTTCTGCACGCAAGGAATCGCCTGCAACGGCTTGGGTCAATGGTAATAATGGGCTTGGTGCAGTGGTCGGCCGGTAAGTATTGAACATTGAATTCAACAAGCAATGTAAAACATTCATTTTTATTCCAATTTTCTTAATGTTAGATACTGCATGGATTTGGCAATTAAAAAAGCGAAAAATGTTGGTGTCGGATGGGTTTGCGCAAATCACTCAAATCATTACGGTAAAATTTTATGCGATATGTTATCTCAAACCTTATCTTATCTTTTTCGTTGTTCACAAACAAAAAAAAAATCATCTGAAAACTCCAAAGTAAAAAAATAACTCATTGTTTATATACACGAAAAATGAAGGTATCGCTGGATGGCACTCAATTTATGCTCAAGAGCACGGATTAATCGGAATAAGTATGACAAATACATCTCCGGTGTTATGTCCAACTCGTAGTAAATCCGCCGCATTGGGAACGAATCCGCTGAGTTTAGCAGCACCAGCGACAAATGGAGATAGTCTTGTCTTGGGTATGATTATTTTTACAGATTTTAGGGTATATTCTGATAGGTGGTTACTATACTTGGATGCTGGTCAATTAAAAAAAATTCAGTCACTCAGTAGGTTTTTTAGTTTGAAAAATAAATTGTTAACTGATTTTTGTTAACATTTTCACACAAAGACATGGCAACAACGTCCGTTGCTATTGGAAAGATTGAAGTACAACGCCGCAAACAAGCGCCAATTCCACTGGGATGGGCTTTGGACAAAAATGGCAATCAAACCACTGACGCAGCTGAAGCTTTTGACGCTAGTTTACTCTTGCCATTGGGTGGTATGGAGGTTACATCGGGATATAAAGGTAATTTTGGCAATTTAAAATGGATGATTTGATATGATGAAATCAATACTTGTTATCAGTCTCATTCAAATTATAAATTATGAAATGTGTTCCCAGATTAAGTCAATATTAAACCTAATTCCCCTTATCTTTTCAAAAGGTTACGGCCTAAGCGCTGTTGTCGATGTACTAACGGGTGTTTCATCGGGAGCCAGCTTCGCAACAAACGTAAGAAGATGGACACTAGATGGGTCAAGCCATGAAGAAGCAAATCTTGGACAAGTGTTTATTGCAGTCGATCCAAACTGTTTTGCTCCAGGCTTCGAAACACGCATGACCGAATTTAATGGAATTCTTCGGAATTTGCCACCTGTAAGACGGACATTTAGACTATCATTAACGATTAATTTATTATTTGCAATAATCATGATTATTATGATAATAACCATTTACAAATAATGAACGAAATTATTTGGAAGAAAATTGACCATAACGCCTCTGTGTATGTTTTAGGCGGATGAAGAAAAGCCAGTTTTGGTGCCAGGCGATCCGGAGCACGCGCACATGGTAAAAGTTGATAAAGAAGGTGGTATTCGTTACCACGAAAGTCAACTAGCCAATTTGGATGAAATTGCAACTAAATTCAATGTTCCCAAAATTGGATCATTGTAAATTGATAAACTTGTACTAAAACGTATCATTTGAATGCCTTATAAAGAGCGAAAAAAATTCTCACTGCATTAAAAACAAAAGATCACTCGAAAAAGATAAATAAAGTTGAAAAATACCATTTCAAACAGATTGTGTCTATGCTGATTGATTTATATTATTCTGAAATAATCTTCAGACGTATGAAATGGCATACATTACAACAAATGAAATCGATTTGAAATTGGTGCGTTGCATTTTTTCCCCCTAGCTTTTTGATTTCACTTTAATTAAAATTATTTAATTGAGATTTTAAAATTGAATCATGAAATGGAACCAAAATATACACACACATACGAATTACGGAATACACCGCGGTTGAATAGAATGGTCTTAAATTGCTTAAAATAAAATTAATGCGTAGGTGCGATTCGTATTGCACTTTATCTTAATTATTCTGGTTTTTTTTTATGGTAAATACCGCGAGAAAATTCGCTGCTCTGGTTAATTGTTGTTATTGTTGTTGAAATTGCCAAGAGCTACAATTACAATTGCAGGAGGAAGTAACTTGGATTTCTTTCTACGTATAAAAGTAAAGTGCAACCGTTTTTAGTCTTTTATTTCGGTTTTGGATTGAAGCGCAAAGGTTTGGAGGCGGTTGAGCATTGAAGCAAGCCAAGTGTGGCAAACGAGTTATTGTTCAGGAGATGTTTTGTACATTTCGAACAATTATTTGAAAAATAAAAACAAAATAATTTATTTGAACATTCGAAATTAGGAATTCGAAGTGTTGGTCGATAAGAGCTGTTTTATTTTGCCATAAGTGGAAAGTGTACAGATACGATCAGTGTGTTTCTCTTGAAAAAATACAACGACATATACACTAAATTATGGATATCATCCGGCAAATGGTAATAAATATTGAAAATGTTTTTTTGGTCAGAATTCAAACGTAAATAATGAAAACGAAAGAAGTTATCAGTTTCAAGATTCAGTTCGATGTTTTTGAGCCAAAATCGGCACATGTTTGAATAAAGCATGAATAATTCAGTGCACATAGTGAAACATTCAATTGTCTTTGTATGTAAATAAGAAGATGTGTGATGTACCCGAACTGGATACGACTCAGTTCAAACATCGAAACGATCGTTTTCAGTGCATTTGGCAGAAATTCACCCAACATTCAAAAATACTACACATTCATTCATTCATTTCCATCTCACGCGGATTTATTTGATATATTTTCAATCGGCTCAATGCAACACTTTGCTTTGTTTTACGTTAAATCGGCAACGCATAATTAAGTTATATATGGTGTAACTGTATCATGTATTTCAGATCGAGACTTGTTAGCAAACATTCACGTTTATATGCAATTCCGCAGCGATCTAATTACGATGCATAGCATGGCGCGACCTTATTGTACAACCCATTGTATAGCTGCAAAATGAATAAAATACGATTTGCGTAGTTCTTTTTTTACGTGCTCTATTCTTCTATTACCAAATGTGTGAAATCAATCAATTTTTATGTGTATGTAAATATGCGATACTGTGATGAAGAAGGTTCGATTTATGGAACTAATCTCAAAGATAAAAGCGTATAAAAAAACAAGCAAGTGGTATTTGTTATCTTGTTTCTCATTGCATTTTCAATAACACAATTTTTCTCACGCTTATTTTGACTTTTGTTGTTGAAAGAATTCTTGAACTTCATTATTTACATTCCGTTTGGTTTCAATATGAATTCTTCAAATTGTATTCACTCTTTTCAAACCCATTCTTTCTATTACAGCTAATATTTCTGCTTTCGATGTTGCCTTTTGCTACGGGAACATTTTTCCCATTCACATCGTGGCGTACACCTTCGTTCGGGCCTCAAAGATCCTATGGATATCGATCACAGCGTTCTTCGCCAAACAATAATCTCATACCGATACAGTCACCAATTTTGGGCTTACGCGTTCTTGTTCCACGCGATCTTTTGAATTTATTCAACGTTAGACCACCATTTGGACAAGAGCCAAACTATCCGCGTCCGAATTCATTCAATCCATTTAATATTAATCCATTCACTTCACATCCAAATTATCCGCACGAGCATCGACCAAATGGATTTCCACAACCATTTACACCGAATTACTTTCCGCAGAATTACGCACCACCGAATTACTCGCCACACACGCCATTTGATGCCGGTTCTTTCATCAATTTTATGCGTGCACTGTACCCGGATATGATATACAGACCCGATCCACGATATCCAAATGTGTTTGCTATTCGACTCCCTCCGAATCATACGCATTCACCAGACTCACAATCATCACCGCCTCCCGAATTTGATCAAGAACCAAGTCGTTTCTTTCCCGAAGAAAATCCACCAAATGTAAACGAGTTTTTGGAACCACCGCCAAATGTATCACACACTCATTCACCACCATACAATCAACCGCAGCACAACCAACAACCGCAAAACCATTTAATAATCATACGTTAATCTATTGTTATACCTCAACAGTTACCAAATACACAGATAAAGTTATGCAGAAGAGAATTTTTGGCATTTTTCTCTAAGACTTGAAAAAGTAAGAAAGAAAAAACGATTTTGTTTCAGTAGAAAAATGTTTGCATTTTATTTTCAGCTATTGGATTTTCTTCACACAAATGGTTACAAATTGAAAATAAAACGTTGATTTAGATTCGTTTTGGGCCGGGAAAGAGTATTTGATTCTATCAGCAAATGTAGTACAACTATTGGAAATCACTGTGATATGATTTACAAGATGTATGGTGAAGCGTATGCTGAGTATGCTGATGCATAGTATGGGGAGTAGGCCGAGTAGTATGATGGATAAGCACTGTATGCGCCATATGCATATGCTGTAATGGGAAAAGTATTCAAAAGTGAGTTAATATCATCATAAGATACTTAAAATGCAGGCAAGACAAAATCAAAATGCAACTCACGGCTATAGACACTGGCAGCCAATGGAGCCGTCACAACTGGTGAACTGTAAAATATATCTGGCTTTGGCTTGGCGCAGGCGCAAGCGATAAGCATGAAGACGAAAGCGATCTGCCGAAAGAAATCAAAATTAATTAGCCATTGTTCTGATATGATGCCAAGCCTTGTCATGCTTAACTAAAAAATCCCTTTCTTGAACACAATAGGCAACACTGCAACAGTGCAGCAACTTCAATGCTTTTATTTTATCCACACAAAAATCTGCACTACTTGACATTCTCCACTCAATATTTTGTTTTTATTCCAAATAAGAAACTTCACTTACAACTTTGAACATGTTGATAGTTGGTTTGTTGTTTAGTTTGTTTGAGCGATAAACGAAAACTGATACCATCCTCAGAACAGCGTCGACTTTTTATACAATTTTTTTTCTCTTTGGGGCTACTGAATGTCCGGTGAAAAATATTTTTGGAGGTAGTCGATTAGCAATTCAGTAGCTTCGAAGTGAGTACGTGCCATGAACAATAAAATGTATTTCAAGGCAAACGGTGGAGCTGTCTTCAATTGAAGTAGCAGCGATTTAGCTGATGTCACAGCAAATGCTCAAATTAACGCGTCTCTGTGCGTGAAGCGCATACAATCCATACATTAAATTTTATGTTCAACATTGTTTTTTCGTGAATCAGATGGTGATAATATCAAAATAATCGTATCTTTATCATTGAACAAATCACCTGATTTCCAATTAATCGAAAATGATCCAGAAAACGTAGCATTAATCAAAAGTGTGTGTAATGAAGGAAATGTTGAGGAATTTTGTCGCATACAATTGAATGCCCAATTCAATTCATGTCGTCCGAAAATAAGAATAGGTATTGTGTTGTCTTCAAATGCCATTGAATCATTTATTCATACGATTGAAGGTATGGAACCATTTATTTCTTATAGGAACCTTCGGAACCAAGCTCGATCGAAACGTACGAAATTCATATTAAAAATCCAATTTCTAGATGTAACTTAGCTTTGAATTTTCATAACCAAATGCCCAATGTTCTCGAAAGAATCCAGTTCAAGCAAGGTGAAAAAATATATGTTGTTTTAATTAACATTACAAACCTTTTCAGCTGCGTTAACGTCTATTTTAGTCGAATGTTGTCGATTTTATTTGCAATCCCTTGACCAAGTAGCGAAAGTTCACATTACGACAAATTTATTCATAAAATTACATGACCGCAACCGCAACATAAGCAATGTTAATGTTGTATTCAAACGAAGAAATATTCATGGAAACGAATAAATGTCTCAAATGAAATTCCATTGTGGAGTAGGTCATTCACAGAAATGTGACTCGTCTCATACGTTTGAAATGTTGACAATATTTCTCTCGGCGTCCAGTATTATATCAAGTATACATATATTCTAAGAATGAGCTGAACCTTGTCAAGGTCATTCTTTATATAAAAATTTCAAGCTGCCTTTGGAATACGCATATGAGGCACAACAAGCAAACAAAATGCATATTCGAATATCTATACAAATGCTTTATTTTTTTTTCTTCATACCGATAGTACGTGTACAATGTAAATATATGTACGTTTGTACGTATAAAATAGAGTTATCGTGTAGACAATAAAAAATGTGTTGAGAAAATTTCGACGTAATTTTGTTTCATTTATGGTAGAGTATTGAATGCTACAAATAAATCATAAAGAAACTAAAGATTTAGGGTGAAAATAGTGGCAAATGTTAAACGACAATTAACATTGATACAAACGAATGAAAGTGAAAAAAACAACAATAATATCGATAGAATACGAATCGAGATAAAAAAATAGATCAAATGAAGAGTAGGCTTCACTGGTGATAAATATTAGTACAAATAGAGACGATTGTGACACACATGTGATATGCTTAGACAGTTTCGGTGCGTGGGTCTAGAGCGTGTATGGCTTGTGTCAATGTTTTGCCATTTTTCACTGGAATTCCCTTGCACTCCATGGCTTTGAGTCGATCTTGAAGATATTGGTTGTCGCGTCCACGTTGCCACCATAAATGGACGCAAGTATTCAGCAACGGAATATACAATGTGAGTAAATCGGCATCGGAAACCGAGTCGTATCGTCTCAAAGCCAATTCAGCCCATTTTTCAGCCGATGGATGCGGAACGGGCGATGTTGTACAAGCAGCCACCAAACGACACAGCAATAAAAGCACCGATTTCGAACGATCCATGAATATTTTGTTCAACAATCGAAAACAATCTTCTAAAATGGGTATTGCCAATTCATTGCGACGTTCGTCCAATAAACGGCACGCCTTGGTCAATTCAATATCTCTTAAAAATTCTAAAAACGTCGGCGATTCACGTAAATCGCTCACGCTCATAATGTGATCCAATAATGCTTCGAATGCGGCACTTCGTTCGGCTATTAAAGCACTCGAGAAATTTCCGAGAAACGCTTTCTTCGGGAATGGGATTGTATTCATCGCGGCTGAATATTCAGTGCGCAAGCCATCGTACAGTTTCAGAAAATCTGTGTATCGGCGCTCAATAGTCACTGGATTGGCATCGGTTATTCTGTTAGAATCTTGACGAATGTTTAAATCGTATACCACGTACTTTTTAATGGTCGAATTTTCATTTTCATTCGGCGGCGGCATCACATGTGCAAACGGAATTTCAAAACGAACTATAATTGAACCATCCTGCGGTAATGGGCGCCGAGTTATTGCTGTTGTTCGACGCCACACATCTAAATCAAATATAAATGAATGGCAATGAACAATTACGTGCACATGGTGAGTATGAGTGTGAATGCGGTAAATACCTGTTACGTTGCCCGTTGTTTGTGATGGAATTGACAATGATCCATCTTCTAGGCCATCGACTGGGCTATCAACTTCATCAATGGCTTCCGATGCACTAAGCGATCGACGTGTCATTGCAGCTCGCATATCGATTGTATATTTAGTTGATTGGTCGTGCTGGAAAATCTAATTGAATTAATTTTTAAGTGTGTAAAAGCCTCCGCTCTGGCTTATTGGTCGTGATTTGTGCAAAACACTGTACACTGAATTGAAAGAGAAACCACAGCAGTAAATCAGTTTAATGAACTCAATTATATTGATGCGATACACTTGGTACCACAAAAACTTGTTATGTTAATACTCGTCTTCTTTCTGATTTTCTTCACCGATCATAAAATAGCAACAATGATGAAAGAGAATGTAACTCATGTATTTATCACAAATGAATCACATTTGACAGCCAATTGTTTTTTTCTTTTTCTTCAAAAATTTATCTCGATGTTGTTTGTTGTTTTGTGTGGTGTCCAATTTATGACTTTTTGTATGTACTTTTCCTTTCAATTGGGAGTGAGTAATTGTGGTGAATCACTGTTAGATACAACAGAACACCAGCAAAAACTGACATTCGCACTTCCGTATCAAATTTCTTTTGTTCATGCCGTTTCTAATTGAATTATAACAATTGCTTAGCGTTACTGCTTGTGTTTTCCTTCGGTTTCGTTGTATCGCCGTATTTGCGCGTAGAATGTGCACAACAAAACTGCACTCAAAGAAAGTGCATTGTTATTTTCATTGAGGCGGAACAAGCGTAAATAAGGTGATACGTTTTTTTTTATGTTGAGGGGAATCAACAACAACACAATACTGTGATAGCGAGGCGAAATGCATGACAGTTCTCGCTCTTGTTAGACTCTCTTTTTGCTGTTGTGTTGGTGCTGTGGAAAAATGACAAACACACTGTCAATTGTGTGGATTAAACGAATCCATCGTATGTCAATGTTTTGATCATGCTCTAATCGCGTAGTTTAGTTCAGTGTATAAGACTTCGTGCAAATAGGCGACATCGAGTATTTGTGTTTTTATCTCTTTGAAAAAGTGAGGCAATTCGGTCGCGCAATTATGTTAAGGCTATACACACGAATTATTGGCCATGGCATTCGAAATGGTCAATCAAATGCAACATCAAATCAATTGCGGATAATTACGCAATTGAGACGTAATTATGGCGACGGTAATTATAAACATGCATTGATTGAGCAAGGAGGTTAGGATTCAACTTTAACTTTGTTCAATATGATTTTCAGAGCAAAAAACCAAATTCGCAATCAGTGACGAGGCTATCGATGGCAGGCCATTATATTTGGATGCACAGGCAACCACACCACTTGTAAGCATTTTTACGAATTTATGACAATAAACATTGGAATTGATTACATGGTTTATGATCTGAATTGTACAGGACCCAAGAGTATTGGATGCAATGCTACCGTATCTCACGAACTACTACGGGAATCCACACTCACGCACACATCAATACGGTTGGGAGTCAGAAAAAGCAGTCGAAACAGCTCGTGAACAAGTGGCTACTTTGATTGGAGCCGATCCAAAAGAGATTATTTTCACGTCAGGCGCTACGGAATCGAATAATATTGCTGTTAAGGGTGTTGCCAGGTAAGGGATTTGTACCAGGATTTATTTTTGTTCCTTTTTAGCACATGAACTGGTGCCGTAAAGTCATACTTGGGATTTGTTTTGAAATCGAGCAGTTTTACATGGTGAATGGGGTATTTTTGTGGAGTAGTGACAATTTGCTAATTTTCTGAATGAAGATTAATTATACGTGACAAACAAGTTGAAGTTTTGATTTTAAATCTGACGCTTTTGAACATTTTTGAACATTTTTGAATGAAATATGTATGAACTTTTCATAGATATTTTCCCCTTGTCAAAAAAAGTTTCCCATTCTAAAAGCCAATTTTAATACCTACTAAACTTCAAATCCACCCACAGATTCTACGGCGAAAAGAAGAAACATGTCATTACAACTCAAACCGAGCACAAATGCGTATTGGATTCCTGTCGTGCCCTTGAAGCGGAAGGATTCCGTGTGACCTATTTACCTGTGCAGACAAACGGAATCATTCGATTAGAGGAATTAGAGAAAGCCATCACACCAGACACATCGCTCGTCTCGATAATGACAGTGAACAATGAAATTGGTGTGAAGCAGCCAATTTCAGCCATTGGAGATCTATGCAAATCGAAAAATGTTTTCTTTCACACTGACGCCGCTCAAGCCGTTGGCAAAATTCCAATCAATGTAAACGAATCGAACATTAGTTTGATGTCAATATCTGGCCACAAACTCTATGGTCCAAAAGGTATTGGCGCGCTGTTTGTTCGTCGCAGACCTCGTGTTCGCGTTGAAGCACTACAAAGTGGTGGTGGACAAGAGCGTGGTTTGAGGAGTGGAACAGTACCGACGCCATTGTGAGTGTTTTTCAAGTGTTTTGTGAGAGAAACTTATTCTTTACGATTGTTTTGATGGAATGCAATGATTTTAACAATGACACAATTTTCGTCCTCTTTTCAGGTGTGTTGGAATTGGTGCAGCTACCGATATTGCACTCAAGGAGATGACCTATGATCACAAATGGATCGAATATCTATCGAATATCCTGATCGAACGAATCAATAGAGCCTTGCCACAGGTCATCAGAAATGGCGATCCAATTGAAACATATCCAGGTTGTGTAAACTTGTCATTTGCTTTTGTGGAAGGCGAATCGCTTCTAATGGCACTAAAAGATGTCGCTTTGTCCAGCGGTTCAGCCTGTACATCAGCATCATTGGAACCATCGTATGTACTCCGGGCAATTGGAGCTGACGAAGACTTGGCACACAGTTCAATTAGGTTTGTCCCGTAAAAAAAACTCACGAAATGTTCTATTCTAACCATTGGCATCATTTTTTTTACAGATTCGGCATCGGTCGCTTCACGACACAAGAAGAAGTCGAATACACGGCACAAAAGTGTATACGACACGTTCAACGTTTGCGTGAAATGTCACCGCTTTGGGAAATGTCTCAAGAAGGCATCGACATTAAGTCAATTCAATGGAGTCAACATTAGGAGAGAAATAAAATGTTCCCACTTGCGATCACTTGTTCTGTAAATAAGTTTAAGATGTTTATTTAGAAATATAAAACTACACAAAATTTAATTGCAATTTTGCCTTGGACTTTATTTCACAATGCTTTGGCTTACACAATAAAATAGTCTTTTCAAAACAACACGATAAAATAGATTAATTGATGATGATTAAACAAGTACTCAGAGTTAAAAGTTAAATATGTATATCATATATTTGGTTTATGGGGAAAAACCGTGTTTGATTTAGAATCCATGGAATGACCAATTGTGCCGCTGAACCGAACGATTTAATGGGTAACGGCATAGTAGAATGTGGAAATGACCACCACAACAAAGATAGTTATAACACCAAACAAAACAGCACGTTCTCGTAACGATCGCATTATCATCGAATTCATGATTCGAGACGATTGACGCAAGTCTTCATTGGCTTCTCGCAACCTCGCACGTGATGTTTTCAATGTTTCCCGTTGTGATGATAAGTCTTGTAATATGCTTGCACCAATACTTTCCGTTTCCAATATCGTTTTGTATCCCTCTGTCAATCGATTGCCCGTCCGTTCGATACGCTCTGAATTGTCCAGCAAACGCCTTTGTTGTCCACTGCTTATACCACTTGTGGTTAGTTCATCAAAGTCGGACGAATCGTACATTTGAATTTGTGTCTCATTTTTTGCATTTTGAAATTCCTGAGTGAGCCGCTTCAATTCGGCTTGATAGCAATTCAAACGGGAGGTAAAACTGCTTTTCGTTGCTGAATCAACGTCTTGTATCTCCAAGCCCATTTGCTCCAGCTAAAACAATAGAATTTTGAAGGAAAAAAGCATGAAATTTCGATTGCATAAAAAAAAACTAATTCCGATAATAACCAGAATTGAAATTCTGAACTACTTACCAATTCCAAACCTTCATCGATGCTTGCATTTATTGCTCGTATTTGTTCACGTTTTTCACTGTCTGTAAAAAAAACCCAATAAAATGACCCACGGTGAGATAACGCACAATATGTTTGAAACAATGCAATGTTCATCGTCACTATTTACCTGCTGGCATACGCTTCAGTTTGCCAATTTCGGATGTTATTTCGGCCGTGAGTACCGAATACTGCTGTTCATAACTCTCAATTAACGAAGTCATTGCGAAAAAATCTCTCTCGAAAAAATTCTTCACTAATTATTAATGACAAATATGCACTTCATGCCCTAAAAAAAAGAAAATAAGCAAAACAAACTCATCTCACAGACACTTGTGTTGACCGATGCACCACTTGAGAGTGACAGTTCACGCGCACCTATCGGGCAACCCGATGAACGAACATTTTTTCACTGTGATGGCTTGATAGCTGTCAGTGACACTTCCTTTTGCATTTTTGAGTTCATACAGGTATGTGAATAAAATTTTCGTTTCGCCGAATTAATTCAATTTCATCGACGATTTTCCATGAAAAAAATCCACATCTTCTACACAAAACGATTCCATAAACCATCTATTTTGAGTGTGTTATGATATTTTTGTAAAAATTCCTGTGATTTTTTTGTAATTTCAGAATTTGTGTGAAAAATGGTTCAGCGATTGACACTCCGACGACGATTGTCGTACAACACAAACTCAAACAAACGGCGTATGTAAGTATCAACTGGTCTTCGATGACAGAAAAAATAGCACATTTTAATCGAATGAAAAATTATGGGATTTTATGCACATGGAATTGGTTTTATTGCGAACGGAAAAAACGATGTGGAAATCAGCGTTGTGTTTACGTGTTTCCAAAGTGTGAATGCGCTTTGAACGAATGAGGTTATGTTGTGTTGCTGTTGAAATAAATTGATACGCGGCTCAATAGATCCGAAAAATGTGTTCGTGCTCATTTTTGTTTGAAATGATCAAGTGTTGAAGTGCCTAAAAGAATCGGTTTGCGACGAGAAAAATCTTTGAAAAAAAAGTTCCAAACATCTTTTTCCAGCGGTTCTGATATCCGAACTGAGCACCCTGAGTTCAAACAGCGCTCACGCCATGGCATATTAATTAGTTGACCAGTCCAAAACTTGTCAGTGTTTTACGACTGGGGGAATATATGCTAGATTAATTAAATTCTATTCGAAAGAAAACGAACGAAACTTCAAGTTCGTTGTCTAGTATTGGTCTTTGACATTTTCCCACAAAATACACAAACAAAAAGCAGAACTGTGAACACTGAAAAAACACATGTTTACCGAACGTATGACGTCTATCGTTGGCATTGCATCGAGTGTTACAATAACACAATGCGCCCGCGCTGCATATTCAATAGTTGACCAATCACAAACCATATCAATGTTTACTGATTGGGGGTAAAATATGCTAGAAAAATCTAAACCATTTGAGAAGGGACAATCTCAACCGAGATAGATTGTTTTCTGTACTTGAGTTTGACAATGGATTTAAAGAGTGAACAATGTTGTTGTTTCAATCTATCTTATGACTTGCAAATAGCTGATGTCAATCATCATTGATTGATCATGGTTCATCAACCATTCCATAGTGTGAATCTCTCCATATTTTCCGCAAAAGATTTTCATCCAATCAAAACTCAAAACTTTGACTAATTTCAACCTTCATTTTTCCTTACCAAATTCCAGTGTCCGTACACCAGGTGGCCGTTTGGTCTATCAATACGTGAAGAAGCGCAAGAATGTCCCAAAGTGCGGTCAATGCAAGGAAAAGTTGAAGGGTATCCGCCCAACACGTCCATTGGAACGTTCCCGCATCTCAAAGCGCCAGAAGACAGTCGCTCGTACCTACGGTGGAGTTTTGTGTCATCAATGCGTTCGCGAACGCATCGTCCGCGCTTTCTTGATTGAAGAACAAAAAATCGTCAAAGTGCTTAGCCGTTCATCGAAAGTAGCTGTTGCTGCTAAGAAATAAGCATTCTATTTTTACGTATGTCATCTAAGGCGTAATCCTTATTTCCATTGATGAAATTAAGCAAAAAATAAAATGTGAATTCAGTTACACTAAAAAGCGTTGTGTTGCTTTTATTTTGGGATTTTGTTTTCAGGGGCTATTTATTTGTTTCAGTCAAAGTTCGAGTAAATAAATGATATCGATATATGTGCCAGCATATTTGGCATTTCATTTCATTTCATTGAACCGAATTCCCGAATTGTGTGTCGTGATAAAAGGCATACCGCATGTATGTAATGACGGCGTGTTGTTTGTACCGTAAGTATCCACTGAACTGAAAATGCGCACCGCGTGAATGGTTCCAGTTAGAATACATATATGCTGGTTTTTGACGTTTCGCTTGTCGTCGTCGTCGTCGTCGCTTCAATGAATTAAATAACACATACGCACACATGCACACATGCGACTTGTGCACGCAACATGAACCGATTCCACCGACATACATACGGACATGAGGCAAAACGCGAGACGTGCGTATATGTATGTGTGGGTGAATTTCTTGTTTTCCTTAACTTGTGTATACACATGAATATTGAATTAAGAATACTGTCTCGTCTCTCGCGTATATATGCAAAGAAAAATGGTCGATCGAAATATGTTTGGTGTTTGTTTATTTAATTTAAAAAGTGCAATTTTGATTTTATTGTTTGGCTGTTGGCGAATTCACGGTTCAATAGACGGTGAGTACCGTAATGGATTAAGCATTTGGTGTAAACGAAAATCGATGTGTGTGTATCGAAATGAATGACAAAAAATATCAACAACAACGACGAAAAAAAAAACATTCCGTCATCGTAATAGTATAAACTGTACGAAAGCAGAAAAAAAAACAACACAACAAGTACAACCAACTGCAATGAAAATCAATGTGCAGCCACTGAAGTGAACCATGCATTGATTAATCTAGGCATTTGATCAATTAAATACATCAATGTGAGAGATACTGTTTGCATCACATTCGATGAAATTTGCACTCTCCTTTGTGAGATCATCCGAAACAAAATTCCCATTCCGATTGGTGTACAACACGTTTTTTTTCGACGCAGGGCTTATTTTGTTTGGTTCATTAACGAATCCAAGTCCTTGATTCAATTTGCACTTGAAGCCAAATATCTGGTAATGAAATGATTCGACTTTCGGTCCTGTTTTAATTACGAACATAACCGTGAAATAAAATTACTTATCTTAAACTTCGGCAAACAATATTGAACATAATGTAACTCACTGTTTTCGATGCAATGCTGTGTAGTGAGTGTGTATGTGTTTGCAGTAATCAGTTTGGAAGTCGGTTTTGTTGCAATCAAACAAGATCCGATGAGCAAAAATAACAACATGATGAACACTCAAATGACTAATTGATTGGTTTTAATTAAGTTAGATTGCCATAAAGCGAGCACAATTAATCCCAATCGAGCCCCGATGTTTTAATCGGATCGCTGTCTATCTCTCTCTCTCTCTTTGCCTCTCTCTCTCTCTGTCTCTGTCTGTCTCTGTCTGTCACAAATGGCCGGGAATTTTTTATAACAAGCAATCCTCTCTCAATTAAAGGCCCATTCAAACAAATGCATTGTGCAAGCGAAAATGTTGTTTCGACTCGCTTAATTGCTGCGAAACAACACTGGCCCAACCGTATTTCCCATTGGTTTATCCTATTTCTTTTATATCGATGCGGTCATAAAAATTCATAATTTGTTTCCTCATGGAAATGCATTCAGTGCACACAAGTTGCACGGTTTTATTGATTTTCGCGTAATTCGTCGTCGGTATTGATAGTGCGCCGTAATAGTTGTTGCTTCTTTTTTCCTTTCCGTTGTCGCATCTTATTTGGACTTGGCTTTTTTGTGTATGATAAAATAGGAATGGCTCAACGATGAGGTTGAAAAAGAAACTTTTATCGCTGTGCATTTTAATGAAAATGTTTGCAAGAATTAAATTCTTTTACTGACTCATCAAAAACGTGTTTGACGTGGCGGAAAATGGCTCTATTTGAAGACAGCAAAATATTCGCACTTCATTTTTCCGCGGCAAAAAAAAACTCGATTTGCCTTTTCAATGTATGTTGAAAATAGCCAATGATGTAAAACGAATGAAGATGTTTTTTTTCTTCCCCCTCTCGCGATTCCTTCTACGTTTTACTACCGCGAAACGATTTTCACAACTTTATTTGCAGTGCAAATGTTGCATACACACTTACAGTAGCCGAACGTCTGTAAATGGCACAACAAATCATCAGTTGCACAGTTGTCACACAAGTCAATTTCCTTTTTAGCGACACAATTTTGTCATTATTTTTGTTACTTTGACACAAGCAAATTGCATTTTAACCACGTTCATCCGCATAAATCTCAACGCTTAACCGGCTTCGCAAATGCACACGAGAATCCACAAAATCAAGCAAACATACCTTTCATCGCCTTTTTTGACGCAGATTTTGAAATTATGTTGTCTATCGATTGCCTTAACTGAAATTCCGCGAACACTTAACGAATGGCACAACCGACACAAATATGGGAAAACTTCATGGAAATCGTAAAATCAGCAGCGATACTTTGTTTTTTTTTTTGTCGGTGTTACTCTTGCAGCGAAGAGAAAAAAGAGACGAGCTGCTCCAAGTAATTTTCTGTTTTTACTTTGAACCTTTCCACAACAATTATCATTGTCACTATCGTTGAATGCTTTCAACTTGACTAGTTTATTTAACAGCTGCCAACATACAACGACTTAATTGCGTAATTTCCATGGGGCAGTTTTCAATAAATCAAACACACTAATATGGTAATGTGCATAAAGCGAAACAGTTGTTGCAGCTTCCATTCGCATTATACCGGTGTGAAATATCTGAAATAAACGATGACACACTGAATACTCCACCTCTTATTTGGCTACTGAAAACGATCATTTTCGGAAAATATTATTTCTTTTTAAGAGTTTCGAATTGAAAAAAAAAACGAATTTCGAATAAAACAACCGCTTAAATTAACTCTGAGTCAGAGTCTCTGACCGAAGTCAGTCGTAAAATTGGCATTTATTCCATTTCCAGTCAATTCACAACGCAATATTTCAACCGTACATTGATTTTCAAGTCAGATTTTGATTGATTCTTATTGAAAAATCTGTTTTTTTGCACTCAATCTGGGTGAATGTGCTATTTTCGTGCTTGCTGACGATGTTCATCGAATTTCGTGAGTTTGTCCGCGATGTCCTTCGTTTTACGCTGATATCGCTGAAGTAATTCTTTGGCATCATTTGGTTGATTTGCAAAAAGTTTGTCCATTTCTCGCCGAACACGCTGAATATCACTTCCAGCGGCGGGCATTTGAGGCGCAATGATTTTATACGCTTTGAATAAATTCAATCGAATTAGTCGTAATGACTGTAAATAAATCTAATGATATCAAAAAATAGACAATATTCTTTACCTTTGTCCATCATGCTCCGGAACTCTTTCAAATCTTTGTTCGGGCCGCTCATCTTGTCACTCAAAGCAACGATACCCTTTGAAATCGAAGTGGAGGTGATGATGTGTCAAAGTCGATTTCCGAAACTGAAGTGACATGAAAAATGCATTTTCAATGCACGGTCCGATTGACATCGCCATCATTCTTGAGTGATTCAATTCGATGATTTAGCAATCGCAAATTGAGGGTTATTTTGAAGAACATTTTGTTTTGGTTATGACAATAAAGAAATGATGCAAAATTTAACGGCTTCGATTTCGACGACAATAAACCATATTGTTTACACTCTGGAAAAGACAATGTTTGAAAGTTTGCAGGATATTATTTCGGTTGGTTTGATTCAAGTGATACAGTGCGTGATTCATACCTTGCAATCCAAATGAATCCACTGTAAATGGAAAGAAATTCTTGCTTTTTTGCACTGAGATGAGAAAAGTTTGTACTTTCTATTAAATGAGGCGCAGTTATTGCTTGTTGAAAATAAGAGCTCCTTCGAAACATGAACACTCACCTTTGATCCATAACATCTAGAACATCGTTTCAATCATTTGCTAGGAAAAGTAAAAGAAGCCCAGAAGAAAAAAATACTATTTTGAAAAGAAAAAAAAACAGTGTTTTCCGTTGCTTCGATTCGGAATTTATTTCATTTCGATAAAAAAAACTGTTTTACAGAAAATGTTTTGTTCGATTTAGAACTGTGAAGCTAGAAGTTTTTTTTTATCGAATTTCATTTGCGTCTTTGTGGATCCGAGCGCCATCGCTTCATCGCCGATAAATTACCGTGACTCGGTCTTTGCTTTGCAATTTTTGCTGTTTTTCTTCTTTCTTAATTTCATGTCGGAGTAGATTCAATCGTTGTTTCATTGCTGGAGAACGGAGCGCATTATCAGCAGCCTGTGGATGCCAAGCATAGCCATTTTCGACGGTTTCACGGAATACTCGCAAATTTTCATAAATCCCATTGTTCAATGCGGCAGCTGAATATGATGTAAAATATACGAAATATTTAGAAAAAATATATACAAAAACCGAAACTTGATCCGATTTGTGATTACCTCTCTGCATCAAACGTCGATAGTCTTCCATTTTTCCGAAATTGTTACGAAGAATCGGCTTCACACAATGGAATTGAATAAGTTAAATTGCGCCTCGAAATATCTTGAGCTTAAGTCACAAACCACACCGATCGCCAAAATGAAAATGATCCGATGCTCCGCGGTTGAGTCCGCTATATAGAGCGAGTACGCTCCAATACAATTTCAAAATAAAATTATCGTCGCACAATTAATGAACAAAAACAAAAATTGTTTATTTAAGCTTGACTACAAAGAAAAAACTGTTTTTTTGTGCGAATCACACAGTTGGAGTTTATTTATCGTTTGGGTTCAATACATCGAATGGAATGACTTTTATTTTGTCAAATTTTTTCAGCAAGTTTTCATTCGCTTCATTTGTATCGGCGTTTGGTGTATCCATTCTTTTCCAATCGTTCCAGATATTGATCTAGATTTTTTGAATTGCTGCGCACTGCATCGACCAATGCTTGGGTTTTGTTCGGATATGTGACGCAAAATTCCGCAAGAGTTTTTCGAAAGTCGG